ACACATACACGAACAATAGCAATGAACTAGGTATCCCAAATCATGACAACAGCAATTACCCCAACCCCCAACAAAACAGCCATAAACCTAAACCCTGGAGTGTCCAACGATACCTCCTTCTCAGGCTTATACCCCTTTGACAACAAATGATTGATAGAAACATAGATAAACACCCCACAAGCCACACCCATCGACACTGCATATATCCAGTCAGCAATTGGGCCCTGAGTCGTGGCATCTATTATAATCCCAATAGCCACCCCAACTGGACTCGATATAGCAAATGCAAATGCATAAGCCACACAAGACAAAAGAGGCCTGTCCGGGATCATCCTAAGTAGAGCTATTCCCATGGCAATGGCTGCGAATATTTTGTGGAGGCAAACGGTCCACAGGGCCCGCCAAGCGTCTGATCTCGTCTCGGCCACACCAATGGCTATGCCCTCAAACACCGAGTGGAAGCAAAGGGCCACTATTAGAAGAACACTGTCCCCAAGTGAAGATGCTTTGGTTAAGGAAGATTTTGCCCAACGGCTTTCTGGGTCTTGGTCCTGATGAGAAGAATATAAGGCATCTAAAAATTAAAGAAAATGGAAAATTATTTGTGTTTATTCAAAATCATGGAGCAATTTCTGCAAATTGAATTGGATTTTTTTTTTTTTTTTTACATTACCTGTTTAGTACGGCTTCCTGATGCACTCTGAGAATTTCCTGCAAAGAGGATTTTGAGAGACATGAGGCATACTGGCTGAAATCAGGCAAAAATGCAATTATGGACGCAGTTAATGAGAGAATATTCTTGGATACAGATTATATGCCTTTGATTTTTTGTTTTTTAACCAGTTCAAAAGATGAAGGACCTTTGCGTTTGTTAGTAGCTGTAACGCATAGGAAATTCAGAACTTCCCAAGAAGATATTGTGCTAAAATCCAAATCACAAGAAAGTCAATGAATGTTCCCTTCTAGGGAATTACATAAAAGCCTATCTGTAGGAGTTATACATCACTATACTAGATGCAATTTTTTTGTTATTCGGAAGACTCATACTCTTGTTTATGGTTGAAACTCTTGGTCGTGATGCATATGCCAACAATCAACATATGCACCAACATCTCAGATTCAATGAGGCAGATAGTTTAGTCATCTTCTATCATTATTGGGTACGCCCAATTAGGAAATAGCAACGTATGTTGCATTTGTCTATCCAACTAATGGGATCATGTACCTCTAATACCTCCACATAGAATTAGCTGAGGTTCACCCTCACAAATGATATCCTATGCTTACCTTCCAAATTCTTCTATTGGCCCATAAGTGTCAAATTAACTGACTAAACAATCCACAGACTACATGATAGGTGCAGATTCAGAACTAACAAGGGTGAAGGCCAAGTCAGATCTGATAAGGCAAAGCACAACTAGGCCTCTACTCAGCCCATTCCAAATTTACTTGTTGAACAAAAATATAGCACAAAAATGTTTCCAGTTAAACAAGTCGTAAAAAAATCTTCAAGAAAGTATAAGAGCTTAGAACAAGTGAAATCGACAGATAGCCGGTAAGCTACAGCCCAAGATCTTCTCCAGTTAACATACGGATTTCTTAATCTTCTATTATTCAAAAGGAACTACGATCAGTCAGGACTATAAAGCACCAAACACTCATATTATAACAATTGGCCAACTATTCAATTGCTACTTAAAAAGTTAAAACTTTCACCATGACAAAACAAATAATTTTTTATCAACAGGCACACGGCACACATCACCTTCCACAAAAAGGAAATATAATAAGAAAAAGATCAGGTAAAAAAAAAATTATAAAACTTTCCAATGATTAAACATCTCCTCACCAGCACTAAAACTCGAATTTTTATTTATTTATTTTTAAATCCTACACCTTTACCTTGAAATCCGGCGCTACCGTTAGCGGAAACATCACCGTGTTTGCCATAAACATGAGAAACAACGCAATCGGCCCACATAGTTAGCAGATAGCCAGCGCTGGCGAGCATGAAAGCAAACGGGTACTCTTTACTAGTCAAGTCCCCAAAGGTCGCATTCGAATCGCTCAAGAAATGCATCAAAGCTGTCCCCAGAAAAACCCCTCCCGCAAACTGCGTCCCGAGTATCAGAAACCCCTCACTCCATTTCATGAAGTACGGGGACATCCCGCCGGCGAACGTCCCCACGAACACAAGTATCAAGCACCAAATCTTGACCAGAATCAGGGACCGGGACCTCAGGTGGGGTTTTTCTTCCGTTGACGAGCCGGAATCGGAGTGGTCGCCGTGGGCGGAGGCGGAGAGGACGAGGAAGAGGAGGAGGGCGGCGAGGAACAGAAGGGGACGCGCCATGGGGTTTGGTGTTCTGCGAACAACTCTTTGCCCATGTTTTGGGTATATAAATGGAATTTTGTGGTTATGGTTAATTAATTGTCAACTGTTTGTACCACAGCGTGAGGAATCAACAGAGAAGAGCACTGTACTGCAAACGAGAATGCGCGTGAAAACTTCATCAATAGGAGAAAAAGTACAGATTAGTTACGAAAATGATATCGTGCAGTACAGTACACATACAAACACAATTATATTTGTGGCAAAAGACTTAAAAATAATAAATAACGGAAGGTACTGCGTCTTTTTCGCCAAATAGTCGTGAAAGTGTTTTTCAAATGCCAAAAATTCTGTTGAGAATTGCAATAATATTAAATGAAATAAATTAAATGAATGGTGAGCATTTATGTTTTGAAACCTTTAAAATATTACTAGTATTCCATTCCATAACCATACAAAGATGCAAGTAAAATATTATAACTCATATATGTGTATATATATATTATATTTATAAGTATAAGTTTAATAGTACAAAATCTTGTTCGAATTTTGGGAACGGAACAAAAGAAAGTTGGGTCGAATGAATAAATGGATAGGGGCATTAGGGCTTCAATTAATTATTAAAAAAAGCAACCCTTTTTTCTATTTCTTATTATTTATTTGATTTCATTTCTATTTCTTATTATTTGAGGGGCCGACTTTCGTCCCTGTTCGACGGGTGAGTCTTGCAGTCAAGCTCCCTTCTTGACCCCTGGCCCTAGCTCTAGTCTTCAACTTGGTTTTTTTCAATCGTAATTAGTATATCTCATATTAAATATAATCATTAATAATAAATAAATATTATAATTAAAATTATTTTACTTACATATGAATCGTTATATAGACGACATATAATGTAATGAATAGTATAATTTTACTAGACAAAATGTAATGAACAATATATTTTTTTATAAATGTAAGGGAGTACAACCAATTAATTAATTAAACCCTAAACAATTTCCATCACTAATACCCTACCATCCTTTGATTGGTATTCGGCTTTTCATGATTGCAATTTGAAATCACACTAGAGGGGCCATTTGGCAGGTCAGATCTGGACTTGGCCCAGCGCGTCGGGTCACATGGGCCTGAAAATAGGAACCCTAAACCGGTTCGAATGTAGGTACAGGCCAGTTCACCGTCCTAGCGGTTCGGGATCAGCTGGGTTCACAAAAAAAAAAAAGAAAAAATAATTAAACGTCGACCCATCTTTGAGCCCAGAACCAGCCCAGAACTGGCGGGTCACAACAAAAAAACTAAGACATGGAACTGACCTGTTTGTAGCACGGGTCCGGTTCAATGACCTATGCACAGGAACTAATTCCGGGCCAGGATCGTGCTGGGTCCGAGTCAATTGCGGGCCGACCCGACGGTTCGGGCCAACCCTGGCCACCTCTAAATCACACACGACCAAATAACATCATATCATGGGTGTGGTTACAAGTCATTATATAGGATCCATCTGTAGGACATCATATCTGTAGGACATCATATCATAATTCAAGCACAAAATCTCAAATTTGTCTAATTTTTTCAGGTTTGACGGGAATCTAGAAGAGGTCTTTAACCAATCATCTTTTTCTAAAAAAATCTAATCATTTTTAACTAATTATTATTTTTTTAAGTCAAATTTAACTCAACTCCACTATCCTCAATGTTATCAATATAATTAAATAACACTACTCAATTATTCTTACACATTACATCAATACTATTCATTCACTCACATAATTTTAACTAACCATCACTTCATGTTATCTCTGTCTAACTTTTACATCAAATTAACTTCAATTATTTTATTTTAAATTTTATTTTAACATAAACACAAAATTTACTAACAACTAATCATACTATTATTTTCAAAATTAACCATGTTAATAAAAAAATCGAAACAAAACCAAAAAATAAAATTGATGTACTGTACAAGAATGATAGATTTTGATTGGTTATAAAATATTTTGATATTGTTTGAATTTTTTAGTTTGGTATGATTATATTTGAAAAAGTGATATAATTAGTTGTTAGTGAGATTTTGAGTTTATATTAAGATAATATGTAAAATAAAATAATTAAAGTTCATTTAATGAAAAAATAGGAGAAAAATGATGTGAAGTGACGGTTAAAATCATGTGAATAGATAAATAGTGAATTAAGATTGATATGTAATGTATAAGAATGATTGATATTATCTAATTATATTAATAATATTAAAAATAATGAAATTAAATTAAAGTTGAACTAAATTTGAATTCAAATGAATGATTGGTTAAAAACAATTAATTTTTTTTGAATAAATTTGTATCCAAGCATCCCTTTAGATATTCACATGTACTGGAAAAATTCTCTAACTTTTCCAACCTATTCAACGAAAAAACTAGATTCAAAGGAAAACCCAAATGGCATGAGTGAGGTCACAACATCACTATTCGTGGCATTTTTCTCTGCGTATTTGTGAAGCAAACCCCATTCAACCTTTAGTATTTCGATAAAGGCCTATCTAGAGGGAATTTTGAAGAGAAACGCAGACATTGTATCTCCAAATGGGAAGAGAATTATTCACAAAAAAAGAAAAAAAAAATAGATCAAAACTACAGATATTTGTCGCATTACGAAATAACCTTCTAAACAGAGCTTAATTTCCAAAAGAGAATCACAACCATCTGCCCAACTACAAATACTCATACAAGACCTCAGTATGTTGAATAACAGAAATCATTTTAATCTCACTGCCAAAAAATTTATACTCTTGTGCAGCTGCACGTTTATTTAGGAATGTTGCTAATTGAAGGGAAAACTACTTAACTACTTCATTAGTATATAAAACACGGAGAACTGCAAATGACCTGCTTTTCATTAAAATGAACTTGTACACTTGATATTCCTAACGTCTCCAGAGACGGCCTTGTTGCTTTTGCTCTTGCATTCTCCTGCACAATAAAGGAGTGGTATTCAGAATAGAGCCATTAATCAAGAATACAACAAAGTTTCTCAAACAAAAAACTACTAAATATGAAGAAAAAAAATCTTAAATTGATGTAACCCTCGCAAATTATAACAAGACATATTTTGTTTTTCATGTCTTCTTTTCACTAGTACTCCAGGTTAAAATATCGTCAAGTTTTATCAGAAAATCAATGGTGACTTTCATGACTAAAAATGGTCAGACAAGACAAACTATCCACCACCCATGCAGGAATTCATAGACAATTACAACTCAACATTTGAAATAACCAAAACCACGGGAATGAGGTGATCTGAAAATAGATTTTGAACATAAACAAACCTCTGATGCTCTTTAGACCTCTCAATGAACTCTTTGGCTATGTCACGGCCTTGATAAGAAGCTAGAACAGTTCGGATATCAGATGGTCGGTGTTTGGCAACATCTGAAATCAAACGAGGCCAGCTTTATGCATATAAACAGAAACATTGAAAATTATATCCCTGAAATCATTAAGTGGATCCGTGTGTTCCAAGGATTGGAATACATATTGGATGCTTACATTCAAGGAATGGAATAAGATCTAAAAGCGCAGTGTCATCTGCTTCTCCTTGCCATGCTTTTATTGGAACACAATTTTCACGCTGAAGACTACTTTCTAGGGCATTGCCACTAATGTATATAACCTTTGCAGGATCCCTGTTCAGCATTGACAGGTCCTGCAGTGAGAGATGTGATTGAAGAAGCTTCATACATGAATTAGTTTGCTACAGGAAAGATCAGCAAACCAAAATTCTAAAGGTATGCATGCCATATACACCACAATGAAGAGAAATGTCATTTATCTCAATCAAATCTCGCCAGAAGAGTAATAAAAGAAAAAAAAAATGTGGTGTAAACAGGCTAGAGTTGCCTGACAAAAAACCCAGCAAGCTGAATATTTTTTCCACATCTTAAAACATAAGTAAATGCTCATCTACCAAAGATTTTTGGATTTTTGTTTTGCGAAACATTGGAACTTCACAAGTTGGCATGATCAATACAAAGCAGAAGTTACGAACTACCAAACACAACAATTATTGCAGTTGAACCTTACATACATAAAAATATATATGTATAAAAATGATTAAGTCTAAAGAGTTTTTGCGTCTTCAGAATGAGGCTGCCAAAAATGTAATAGGAAAAAGTTATAATTTGAGCAGTGTGAGGTAAAGGAGGCATACGATCTGATATCTATAAAGTATCAAAGAGATAAGCGACCAATAAGTTGATCATGCTGTATTCAATTATTTCTTTCAAGTCTTGGAACTAGTTCAGTGCAGCTATCACACTGAAAACAATGTAGGCAAAAGAGTATTAGAAGCTATGCGAGTAATATTCAAATGTGACATCATTTACCCACGAAATTAAGTGTTATTTAAATAAAGGAAAAAGAAGATAAAATCAGATAGCAGGATAATTGATAAAGGAAAAATCTGGAACTCTTGAATTTAAGGACATGACTGCTGTATAAAAGGTACGAAATATAGTACAACTGATGCACTCTTAAAATCAAAGTGAATGAATGTACCCTGTAGTGCTTGCCATCTATATATCTTGTTGCCCCCCTTGAGAGCCTATAACGGATACAATGCTTTGGATCCAATCTTTCAGCAACAGGATCAACATACTGCAATTTCATGGATATATAGTCAAAGAGAATGAAAACCGGATAGAACTATGAGGTTAGAATGCAACAATTTCCCCTTGTATTTTATATGTGAACACTTACCATATTTAGTTGGTCAGAATATACTACGATTTCATAAAATTGAGCTAAATGCTCGAGGAAAGCATCTACACCGGGTCTCTTGAATGTTCTCCACCCTCTGTCACGCTTTAAATTGATGAATGGANGCATCATATGTGAAAAGAAATTATTATATATTAGCATTAGCAGCAAAATCGGAATCGGGCTAATAAGTTATACCTTCCAATCAGAATATATCAATGTTTCATTTAGATCAAGAACGAGGGTAAAAACATGCTGCTCCATTGGGTGCAAATCTGGAAGGAGCTTATCGGATGTTGGTTCAGCAAAACCCTGAAACAAAGTCGGTAAATGAACAGCACTAGAAAGACACATAGCACTAAACATCTCAAAGTAATTCTGACAGGGAAGCAATAGGTGCTCACCCGAACTTGTTCTTCAGCTAACCTCCTTAAATCAATGTATGCTTCTACTAATTTAGCAGGCACTGAAACATAAACACAAAGGAAACACCCAGCAAATATAAGATAAATATCAATGGGAAATCTGAAACAACCATATATGATTAGAGAGAAATAATGTTTATCCAGTTACATGCTGTCAAGAGAAATAACAATACAAGAAGAATTTCACCTGTCATTGCAGCTGCACGTAGATAAGCATTAAATCTCTGCACAAAAAATAAAATGCTTCAAACAGTTAGCTCAAGCTTTTACCCATATTCCTACTGGACATCGGAGGAAAATTCTGTAATCATATATGTTGTTCGTATACACACTATCATGACAGTTAATCTTTAGATAATGGCTGTATAGCATGTTACTTAAACTTGGTGAATGTCATATTATATCACATAGTCCTACCACAATCCATATGCCAAAGAACCATGTTTGCGTACACACTTCAAGCCAGCTACTGTACACATTTTTGTTCTACCCAATCATCTTACCACCAACCATTTTGAGTCCTTAAAATTAGAAAGTATATTGAGGTCAAGACTCAGGAGCCAATTCTGTGCAGATTGCAGATACATTCCAGGGGTTTAACTTTTTTATATCAAAAAGGTACTCTGGTACAAGAACCAAACATATTGTTGGCATGTTTGCAGTGTATGATACTATGATTTACTTCCTCTAACTTGAGGGAAGTACTGAAGGTGTGTGTAAGTATGAGCTTTACAAAGTAATCGACATAGCATTAAATAAAAGACAGAATTAGCGTTACGAGAGGATGAAATGTGCCATTTTGCAAGTAAAGGAATCAAAGATAAACTTGGGCTATTTATATTGTGTGAAGCACTGGGCCCTGAGCCAACATTATTAAGAGTCATGTCATCATATTAAAACTGCATAAAGAGTTTAAAACAAAGAACAACATGATATTCTATGGTTGAGCAACCAATCTTTGAGTGGCAAAACCGGAACACAGAATGTACACATTGAAAAGCACTTAAATCACATCTCAACTACCTTCAATTTCAAATAAGATTTCTGTTCTTCCTTGTTTCCAATCATTATTACACCAGTAGAACACTTACTGAACCCATCGCAGCTCCAGATGAATAATGCTAAAAGAGAAGCTAGGACTAACGTAAATACAAACACTACTTTTAGTATACTAAAAACTTTATCGAGAAGTATGAATTGTATGAACAAACAAATAGGAAAAGGCAAAGAACAAGGGTGTAGTCAGACGCACATCAAAAGAAGACCCATCATCCCCAACATTGAAATTTGCAGATGCACGAAGGGCCTTAGTCTTCTCATCAACTTCATCCAATGAGTATGCTGCAATAACACCAACATCGACTTTATCCAAACAAAACTTTGACCTAACATATACTGGGGGCTTGATTATTAAATAGCCTTTAGTCCTCAAAACTAATACTTAAAAGCAAGATGATATGTTCATATCGTAACTGAAAGGCTGAAATTAAGAATATTCAATCAGCAACAACCACCGATCAGATCTCATACAACTGCACTCTTGTCTTAATGTACACAAGGAAAAAATTGGTAGAGGAATGAACCAAATTATAATAAAGAGAAAGCAAACTTATCCCATGACAGGATCTCACGACATTATTGATACTAATGCGGACTACGTTGAAAACTCATGAAGAGAATCTCATTTCCAAAACCAAAACCTTGAAATGAAAGGGCTAATCGGTAAGTTATTAACAAAGAGAATCTGTAACCAGGTAGCTCATAAACAACTCATTATTTACAGCACCTAAATTGAGAGTAAGTTCAGATTTCAGAAACTTCAATAATCTTTAGTCAGAACTTTGTCAGGTTGATACACTCAGCCTTAAGATTCAAAAACATTAAAGAAATACAGGAAAAAAAACTCATATACAACATTTTTTAAGAATTTGAAAACATAAACCAAAAACAAACAGAAAATTAACTAAGATATTTTATGAAGAGATAACATTAACATGCATGAGTGAAGCAGAATATTCAGGAAAAGAATCTCAGCTCCAAACTCAACAGAGAACAAAAACGCAAACCATACAAAATCAATTGTTTACCATATAGGTGCAGAAACTTAACGTTTTAAATATAATTTATCAAAATAGATAACCAGGGAAACTGAAATCGCTTGTAAGTCAATTAGCGATCTAATCTAAAATTTAAATTCAGATAAACAACGAAAAAACCATCTACATGGTCATCCATGTCGCCAACAATGTGATATTCCGAAACATACATAGTTACAGTTCGTATTAACACTTACAAGATTGATTTTCACTCACTCCGTTGAAAAATCAGAAGTATCCATATCAATGTGATAAGGCAACCTAATTGACGACGAAAAGGTTAAGAAGTCCTAAGTACCGTAGGTAGCATAGCCTGCGGTAGCAGCACCACCCGTGATGGCAGCGATGAGACCATACTTAAGAACGCTCCACGAATTTTTATCTATCCCGGACGCCGGCGGAGGTGGCGGACCCGTTGGAGGTGGCGGAGGCTGATCACCGAGAATAGAGGAGGATATGATTGCTTCTTTCGGTGGTCCTGAGCTAACGGCCGAGGAAAATCTACGATTGTTCCTCGAGATGATTGAGAGCAGACGCGAGCATGATCGGGCTAATGCACACATCATCAGTTTTTCCAATTTTAGGGTTTTGGGATTGCAGGGGGCTTGGGGTTTTGACAGGGTTTATTTGAGAGAGTAACTTTTAGGTGAAGTTATTTAGAGAGAGAGATAAAATTAATTAATTAAAAATAATAAAAAGTATTTATGAGCCAGGTACGGGTTTCTTCACTACTTGAGATATGATCAGAAAGAAAAATGCTAACAATTGAATAAGCTGTAAAATTAGGGATAACCTTTTCAAGATAAGTGCATTTTTATAAATTAAAATATTATACTTTAAAAATAATAGTATACATAAAAAAATTAACAAAATTGTCACGTGTCATGTTACATGGCAGTTAACAAAATTGTTATTTTAGTCAGTTTGATAACTAATATGCATCTCCTGCAATATATGAGATAACAATATTAAAAGTGAATTTATTATTGAGCCCGAGAAAACAATATTAGAAATTATTTTATAAAAATGTATATAGTGTTAATATTAAGATTAACGTCATAAATTAAATATGGAGCAATGTGAACATAATTTACCCATTTTTCATGACAAGTCACTTAACTAAAGAACTGCTCTATGTAGGTTGATTGTTGGTGGCCACAAATTAGGTCATGATCCACCTAGCCAAGCCAAGAAGAATAGAAAGATGGAAAAATTTTAATATTAATTAGGACTATCTGTTATATTTCTCATTAAATCGTTATTGAAAATCTACCGACAAAAATACGTTGAATCAAATAAGAAATGTAACACTTGGTCAGAGAAAATGAGAAAGAGGCTTTACTCTATGCGTTTATGCCTTCGATAATAATAATAATAATAAATTTTTCATATGGTTTTCCAAACTCTTCCAATCTGGATCGTGCTTCTCATGTAACATCACTAAAATTCATTAGTTGGGGTCTAAAAACAACCCCTAATGGCGGCTTTAACCGCCACTAATACTCTTCTTACAGACGACGGCTCACGGTTCAGTATGTCACCAATATATTGGACACTTACTCAATACTACATTAAACCTAACTCCAAAATATACGCACTAAATACGCATTAGAAATGAGCACAGAGAGTAAATTAAATGTACTCTCCTCGTCGAATCTTGGACGGGACATAATTCTCTGACAAGAAAGTGATCGAGTTTACTGACAATGCTTCAATCTCGAACTTGACTTCTCTATCCAGCAGCAGCTGGAGCTCAGACCTTTATAAAAGATTGACCAAACTCTCGATACTTCCAAAAAAAAATTGTTAACTCGTCAAATGAACATATGCGGGAAAAGCAAAGGGAGAAAGTCTAACCTCCAATGTGCCACTTCCCGTTCCATGTAACACCGACTCAGCATGCTTTTGGCTTTCTGCTTATCTAACACAGGCCAAATCAAAACCTCAGTAAAAGAGTATTTTATTACACATAATTGTGAAAGGAACACGCAACTCTTCATCACATGTGCCAGCTCACCTTCAGCCGTCAAAGGTAGAAGACACTGTTGGGGAATTTCATATTTCTCACTGTCAGATGGGAAGGCTCCGAGCCAATGCATCACAGGGAGACGAAGGGATTTCGAGTCGTAAGACATTTGCTTCAAAAATCAAATAAATAACAGAGTGAAGAATTAGTTCAAAAGTGTAAAAGAGCACCAAGATATCACAAGAGATGTAAATTTAGGCCACCATTGAAAATCATACCATAGAACCAAAACGGTATGTAGTCAAGATATCTATGCCGTATGGATCACAATCCACCAAGCAATAGACGGGCAAGCATAATTTTTCAGTAAGGAGGTGCAAAAATCTGAATCGGAAAACAACACAAACATAAATGCTGTAATTGAAGTAACTAGTAAAATTAGTTGATGTAGGGAGTAATAATTTCTTTACCTTCGGGTGGGAACATCAGGGTAACCACGTCCCTGTAAAACCAGATAATTCATAAGAACTGATTTTTGTGATACGTCCATTAACAAATAAACTCATACAGTGACAACTATGCAACGGTTTTGTCTGCAAAATTGATCATCAGCCAGCCGCTGGAATACTGCATGAGTAAGTGGGTGCTAGTTACGAATATGAGTAACAACGAATACAAATGAGTCATACTAGCAAATGGTAATGAATTCTTTTTTACCTGATTCTTTCTCCACCACTAAGATGTATTCTGATACAGAGATTATATCTGGTAAAAGCAACATGGAAATAATGCATCAATAAGCAAATTATTATAGGGTTTCAACAACAAATCAAAGTTAACATATAGCAAAATACTCCAGTGAAGTTAATTTTTTCCAAGTTTCATTTGTTGTTAAAAAACATTCACTCACAAAGACCCACAAGGACGAACAAGCTTTGTCCACATACGTTACTCAGAACCTTCCAAATAAATTCAATACAAGAAAACATCTGGCAAGACCTGATACCTTCCACATCTTCTACATGGACAGGAATATGGTGCGCCTGCAGGCACAGTTGGCTTGAGTTACAATGTCAGAGGAAATAGAGCCAATCAGTTCTTTCAGTTCCTTTGCTTACCACATTAGGACTGCTGATGCAATCAAATACTCTTCCAGCTTCTTTAAATCTCAGCCAACCCATTACCAATCTGTATTTCAGGAAGGGTTGATAGAGGGGAGACGATACTATAAGAAACTATTTCTAGGAATGAATTCGAACTGGACTTTGATGGAATAAAAAAAAAAGGAGAGACTTTTGAGAGGGAAATTACAAAAAAAATGTAGACACATCCATTTAAGTCGAAAAAATCTGAGAGAAGCTTCTAAGATTCTTGATAATTTAAAAGAATGTAATAGGCTAATATATTACCATGGTGACATCATTATGGAAAAGTCTTGGATGTTAAACATTATGTGGAGATATTTTAGGCTGCATTTCTCTGAAGCTCAGCAGATTGAATTAATGAGAAATGACTGTCACCATCTAAAACACGATCTATAACAGGCCCGTAATTTGTTTCTTATAATGAAATAATAAACATATATCAATTTTCATGCAAATCATTAGATTGATAACAAACATATTGGATGCAAGCATGCGAAAGTTTAACATGTAAGACAAGATTGTTAAGAGGAATATTGTTGCCAGAGAAACAATACCTATTCAGTTAGTCAAGAATTTTCAACAAAAATGTAAAAAAACCTCAATGACACAATAATCTCAATCTCAATGAATTTCAATGTGCAATTAGCTTGATATTTACCCATTTCCAACAGATACCTGCAAATGGATGATACAGAAAAAAACATCATTACTCTGAATCAAACTGGTGCACTGGAATATCTGAAAATAACAAATACTAATATTTTGCTATGATTTTTCATTATATCTAGCAACTCAGGAGAACAATTAGAGGTTAGGGAAACATTTTGGAAATGACATGATGCAACAAAGTAAACAGAATATACCAAAGAGCACTTAATAAAATGATCAGATCTTATGGGCCGACTTTTGATGCAACAAAGTAAACAGAATATACCAAAGAGCACTTAATAAAACATATTAAAATGGTTTCAAATATACAAGAAGCTGATATTATAAAATAATTCAACTGAAACAGTTTATTCATATCAAAGAAATAAAAGTTTTGTGATGAAGTTGAAACACGTGCTGCTCAGACACGAAGAAGTATGGATACATGTAACACATAAAGACAAAAGTAAAAAAATGGAAACTAAAATAGATCTGAGAACGCACCACATTCAAGTTGTGGCGACTGCACTGCAGAAGAATGCAAATGTCATTAATTGCCCCATCAACCACAGATTGTTCTGCTTTCAAAAAGGAGAATTAGGTTCATTCATCTAAAAAAATGTATAAGGTACCAATCATATTGTGCTCTCTGGCAGCTATAGAGTTGGCACTAAGGGCCTGATTAAGTTAGTGTCACTTCCTGAATCTAACATTACCACATGTAAAATCATCAGTAGAAGCGAATCAGTTTTTTTTTTTTTTTTAGTAGAAGCCAATCAATTATTGTAGTAAAACACATAGGCGCAAATAAAGATAAATATGTGGTGATGCAAATATCAAGTTACAAGTAAAATTGGCAGATGCAAATATTTAAACACAGACATGTTGAGGCCTGAATGCAAAGATCTTGATTAACGAACAACCTTTGAAAACCGAAGGATGCATGTAATAAATATCTCGTTTAGAACCATGCTTGTTTTCCAGCATCAGTTGCTGAACTATCAGCAATACCCTTAGCAGTACATCTGAAAACGACAATAAACCATATGTTAAATCTCGCCCATCAGGTTTTTGAAACCAATAGAACACCAACAGAGTGAAGATTTATTAAAACTAGTTTCCTCTAATTCAATCTCGTGCTGCAGACATGTTACTTACCCATCCTACGGGCTTGGTTTTCTCTACGCAGCATGAGAATCTCCTTACCTTTGGGCAAATCATAGCTGCAGCAGCTGCATAATGGCCACAAGATTCATTCACAAACCAGTTCACTGTATCATAAATCAATTGTTCACTCAATTAATAACTTAAATAATAATTGTTCACATACTCACGCTCAAGCATGAAAATCCGTGTAAACATCGAAAGGTAAAATCAATTTTTCAATCAACAAAAATCATCACCACCAACGATAAAACCAACAGTATTAGCAATAAAAATTATAAGTCGATTAACAAATAACAATAATATTCCAAACCATTTTCCAGAAACGTCATGGCAATAGGAGCTGAACTGATTGATTTGTATGGTTGGCGATCGACCGTTGCAGAGATCTTCAATAATTGATCGTGTGAGCTCTGCAGAATAAATTGTGGCGCTGATTAAATTCCCATTTAGGTTTAGATTAGACGCCGATTGTAACATAAGCTGCTATTGAGATTGGACTCACGAAGTGAATACCTCTAATTTTCTTCAGCAGGTCGACGCCGAAGCGATTGGGACTCAAAGGCTTTCCCTCCATTTCATGGATCATTTCTGTATTTCGGGAAGGCACCAACTTGGATATGTATGAGATATTTCGGTGTATTCAATTTAGGGCATGCTTCACACTCAAAATTTAAATTAATTTTAACTCAACCTCACTATCATTAATATTATTTATATAATTAAATATTATAAACCAATCATTCTTACATATCACATCAACTTTAATTTACTATTCATCCATTCACATAATTTTAACTACCTATCATCTATATATATATAATTGCTAGCTACTCCCATTTAATAAAACATTTAATACAAATATTTTCACTTTCCCTCCAAAAGAAGTTACATTTTTTTTAATTAATTACTCATTAATCTCACATTTAAGAAGGTTTTTTATAGTTAAATTTAATTAGTTAATGACTAAATTAAAAAAATTTATTTTAATTAATCCCACATTTATGTTAAGTACAGTATTAGCTTAATATCTTATCAGTTTTTCAAAAAAATAGTAACTTTTTTCAATAAATTTTATAAAAATTAGTCAAATGTGCTTATATTCATATAAATCAGAAAAAAAATTAAATCTTAGATATATAAAAAGAACATCGTTGAAATAACTTGAATTCGCAAGGGTAATTCTATACTCATGATCAATTACTTTAAATTTTTTGTGTATATAAAAAATTAATATTATATTTACTCATTTATATTTAGATTGTATTTTTTTTATTAAGAAGCAAGGACAATCTCTATCAATTAATAAGAGTCAAGGACAAACAATATAAAGAAGTGTTTCCTATGTTATGACATGATCAATAAGAGTCAAAGACAGTCTCTGTCGCACGTCGGCTTACTACTGAAGAGCTCTGCATTTAGTCATGAGCAATTATACGTGGCGCTTTTTAGAGTTACGAGTCAGTGGGGTTTGAAGATTTTGATTTGAGTTGAGGGAGATTTTGACAATAGAAAAACTACGACGTTGTTTTATAAAGAAGTGTTTAAGAATATTTATATTTTTTTTCTTAATTTTTTTCAATGAATTTGTTAGGATTTTTACTATTGTTTATAATTTTTATTATTTTTTTATGTATCATATAGTTTTCCGTGCAAATGCACGGGACAAAAACTAGTTTCCAATCATTTATATCCTACTTTTACATCAAATCATTAATAATTATTTTATTTTAAATATTATTTTAATATATTATTAAAATCACACTAACAATTAACCATACTACCTTTTTCAAAATTAACTCTAGTTAACTAAAATAACGAATGAAATATTTCATAAACAAGTTTAAAATAAGTAATTTTGATGAACGTTGTCCGTGTACTACACGAATGTTTCATAAAAAATTAATTGTCCAACAAAAAGTGAAAAAATATAATTCTTATTGTGAATTAAAAAACTATAACAATTAATAAGAAAATATTTTTTTTATTATTTCAAATTCTATAAAATATTTTTATGAAGTATTAATTATTTTATTTAATATATATTTATTTTTGTCAAAATTAAATAGATTAAATAATTTATTCGACTGTTAATAATGCCCGTGAATGTCACGGGCGCTTAAAAGTTAAATATTTTTATCAAAATAAAGAAGTGAAGAAATAAATATTTTTATAGTAGAATAATAAATAAAATATACAACTAATAACTAAAAAAATAATAAAAATAATTATTTAATATAATACTCTAATTTTATACGCAATTCATTAAAATGATCATTTTCTTATCCACACACACGCATATGTATATATATATACAACTCAATAAATTTGAATTCATTTTTTTATTTAAGTTTGATTATATTGTAATTATACTTTATATTTATACATTTTTTTTCCCTGATTTAATATTTTTTTAAATATCTTCAACTTCATAATATTCAACAGTTTAAAATATAATGTGTATGAGTGTAATATTTTAAACCTTATGAAATAAAATAATTATATTTATAATTTTAATTATAATGTTTATTTACTTTTTTTTCATATTCATAATGTTTTTGTGTAGTCTTTATTTAAGTCGAGACATAAACTTTAGAATATTTTTTATACTAATTTGATGTTCATACTTAGTTTATTTATTACTTCTAAAAAAAATAGCTATATTAGGTATGCTAATACACATAATTCTTATTGCTTTCTAAGATAAAATATAATTTTATTTGAAATATTTTGATCTATCTTGATAAATACTTTTAGATTTTATTTATAAGGCTATATATCACTTTTTTATATTTTGTATATATAATATGGATGTCAAATCAAAGAACGTTAAAAGATAAATAATTTGCTATATCATATATAAAAATAAAATACTGACAAAAAAAGTTATAAAATTTTAAAAAATACGAAGAATAAACATTTATAATAATTAAACATTTAAAAGATAAATAATTTGATATATCATATATAAAAATCAAATACGGACCAAAAAAGTTATAAAATTTTAAAATATAAGAAGAATAAACATTTATAATAATTGATGTATGAATTAAATAAGAAAATAAAATTTAATGCATGGTAATGTAGGAAAAGGAAACTTAAAATAGTTTATGGTAAGTAATTGTAGATAAAAGAAGGATGAGACCATTTAGGATTTAATATTAATGATATAAACATTAAATAAAATCCAAACCTACTTACTTTTGTATAAAGAATATTAATTTATATCAAGCCAGACTCCGAAGCATGATTTTTTGCCACATAGGATTTCGAAGCGTGAGAGCGTGTCACTTAGGCTCAACACATTATACAATTATATATAGGGTGGATAGCTAATATTAATTAAATTAAATTAGTCATTTTTTTTTAAATATTAAAATGAAATGAGTTCTAATAGTACACACCAACTANAGGATTAACAACATTACAATCGTATAGTAAGATGAATAAATAATCCTCTAAAAAATTTTGAATCAACTATAAAATTGTTCTTCGAACTAAGTCATACCCGAACACAACTCAGCTGAAAGCTCAAGCTCGGCTCATTTGTTTTCTTAAATGAATCGAGCTTGAACAACTAATCGAGAAAACCAAAGTGAGTTTATTCACAAACCACTCATTTTTTAATTATTTATTTTTCATAAAAAATAAAAACGAAATCATGTCGAACTTGTTTTCTAAAATATTTTGTTTTCATGAGAAACTCATTTAGGATCTTAGGTTTATTAAACGAGCCAAGTCGATTTGAGTTTTTGTGAGTTTCAATGAGTTGAACTCGAGTTGAGCCTTATATTCAGTTATTAAACGAACACAAGCTCAAACTTGAGTTACTCGTCTCGAATAAAATGACATTCATAATCAATCCGATCATGACATATTTGTGTTATTATTACGGCATTTTATTTTAATTTTTTTTATTTATGCATCAAGCTACAGTATTAGAAAAATATTATTATGATATATCTTTACCCAGAAATTCTATGGCGTCCATACGGGCGCCATATGCCATGCCACAATATGATGTGTCGTATTAGGTGGTTTTATTAATTTTAATTATCAATTCCACATCATATATGAGGTGGCTTTAAAAATCATTTCAGTTCCATAGAATTAAAACTGGATGCTTTATTGGGAAATGAACTTTGGATGGTGTTTAGAAATGAACTATGGAACTGAAATGACAACCAAATAGATACAAACAGAGGGTATATAACAACTTTGTAACCTCATTTTAACTTTTCCCAAAAAAATAAAGCCTAATTCATTAATTACAAGGGAATTCAACCTAAATTCAGGACATGGTGGGTTTTTCAAGCTGAGCTTCGGATAAATTCGGGAAGGTGTAGTGTCGGTGGGTAAAGTCGTGAGGTTGCAGGTGGATTTGGAGAGATGGCACTTGAATTGATTTTGGAGAAGAATCCTATTTCTTATTTGATTTTGATTTGGAAAATCTGTTTTTTTTTAAAAAAAAAAAAGCCACCTCATATATGATGTGGAATTGATAATTAAAATTAATAAAGCCACCTAATACGACACATCATATTGTGGCATGGCATATAGCGCCCGTATGGACGCTATAGAATTTCTGATCAAAAAACAGTGATGAAAATGAAACTCTTAGCAAGTGTAAACAATGCTTTTGGCCTCAAAAAATCAAATTCACAAGCAAACAAATGAGAGGATATAAGTAAAAATACATAAAATAACCATAATAAAAAAAATCACGTTAAACATTTGTGATGAAAAAAAAATTATATAAGCCATCCAGATAAATGTGAAAAATAATAGAGTATGAAAATTTGTTGCAGTTATTTTTACCGGAGTTAAATCAAAGGATTCAATCCCCGGGTCGTGTCTCACGGAAGGTTAGCCAGATTAAATTATGCGAATATTCAGTCACAAAACGATAAAGTAATCCAAAACACTCTAGTTCAATTATTTTTTGTTTCAATTAACGACTACCGATTCTCAAACAATGCAAGACAAAATTTCAACTCCAAGCAAATTCAGTTAATGATAAAAGAGCTAGGGAGTCGGGGATAATCGTTTTTGATTCTTAATACAATTATCGGATAATCAATTGCTCGATAGAAGACTTGAGAAGCTTACTCGTCTAGAGGTTTATTCTCAATAACTCTTTGTAACAAGAGAATAAACGTGAACGATTAACTATCAAATCAAATAACATATAAGCATTACATTTACGAACAAGTCTATCCTAGACGAGCCTAAATCGACCGACTTCCCCTCTTTCAGTTCTAAAAGCCGATTAATTAGGATAGAATGGTGATCAATCAACTAACCATAGAATAATCACAACTCGCATAGATTGAACAATTAACGAGCACGTAATAAAAACGAACTGAAACCATCATCCCCTATCCCTAGCGAACGGATTTAGCTACTCATCTCGATTTCAACATTCAATATCACATCAATCAAAGCAATCATAATCATAAACAAAACAAGAACAAGAACTTACGATTAATATGTATCCAAATGTCAAACACCGAGAGTAATCCAAATCCGAAAGGTAAGATTGGAGTTTTTACTCTCCAAAGATCAAACCAAGTGAAAATTCAAGAGGAAAAATGTTTGTGCTAGAGAAAAACCTAATTTTACAAAGTCTGGAATGAGAAATATGCCCTAGGCTCGATCTGCCTTTTTATCCCACCCCCCCTCCCCCGAAAATACATAGAATTGAATTTTGAAACTCCCAGGCGCCGCGCCGCGGCGTATCAACGTTGCAGAGCGTGAGGAGTGTCGCGGGCTTGGACACAACATGAAGAAAGCTGGAGAGCCGCGGCGGGGCACCTAGGAGTGTTGGATCCTCTGTTCGCTCGTTAACGGTGTCGCGAGATCCTCCACGGCATGGAGTGTGGGCTGTGCTGCGGCGCGACAGACTCTGCGGCATGACGGTAGTGAAGGCTAACTTTGTCGGGGCGTGACGAGCGCGGCGAGACGCTCCGCGGCATGACACTTGGAAAAAATAGTATTGCACTCCGGCATATGCGACATCGGTAAGGTGCATGGGTCGATGTACGTGTGAGGGTCTGAACCGTATGTTGCTCGGGTCCTGCCCGAGAAAGTGGCTATATAGAGGCTGGTCGAGACTCTTGTAATTCCGAACCAAGACATGTATTTTGCCGAGACCGTCTGACTGGATAAACTCCAAACACCTGGTCAAAGATCCGAACCTGTACATCTCCAAGGACAAGAAAACACTCAAAAACAAGGAAAACAATAGAAAATACGAAAATAGAGAAACAAAACGGTAACACACAAGACAAATGACTGGAGGACCAAAAATCCTATCAAAAGACCTAAAAAGGGGGTAAAAAATCAATATACTAACAAAGAAGAATATAACAAAAATAGGACAAACAAAGTTAATATGAAAGATATAGTTATGTACATTATAGAGAAAAGATGATTTGAAAAGCACCACATAAATTCTGCAAAATCTCACAAATTTTATGAGATTTCTACTATGACTTTGTCTTTGTAATTTTATTAAAAAAGTCTTCCAATTTAAAAAGACTTATAAGGTCTTTCTATTTTCAATATATTGTAACTTATTGAGACTCTTAGAAAATTTAAATTGTATACATTGAGACTTTTAGAGATTTATAAAAAATCTTTAAAGTCTCAATTGAGTACGTGGAGACTTTTTAGAAGTCTAAAAGATTTCAATTGAACACACTAGAACTTTGAAAGTCTTAATTGAATACATCCTCTTTCATTATTTTATAGGTAAAAGTATGATATTTTGATCGTCTGTTTTCTTCCGGTGAGAAATGGGACTGGGACGGCGTGTCGAATGAGCAGGCTGTGGGGTTGGAATGAGCGCGGGCTGTATTCAATTAGGATAGTTGGACTTTGTAATACTATTTAAAATAGACGACTTATGTGAATTTTGGGAAATTGGTATAGAGATTTTTTAAAACTTTAGACTTATATTATTCTTAATATAATAATTAAATTTGTATGAAATACTCATAAAAATTATGTGTATAATAACTAGTATCAATAAGAGTCAAATAAATAATTAAAATATAATATTAACTTAAAATATGTTAGGATATTAAGCATGCACTATCCATGGAGCAAAAATAAAGACGAGAAATTAAATTTTACAACAAATAAACTCAATAAAAAAAAAAGAATGAAAAGCATTCAACAGTCAAACCAAAATAGTATAATAGTTATCTTATTGACATTTTATTAAAAATAAAAAAAAATAAAAAAATAATAAAATAAAATGAACAATACATCACATATTTCTCACACTGTTCCATATGTTTGTTGTCAAACTCAATCTCCACGCATTTGCAGATTCTCTTTCATTTTCTTGACTCTCAAAATATGGTTTGAAAATTTGTGTTTCATCTTTTATTGAAACTCCATCTTCAATGCCGGATGTCCATGTTTTCGTATCCCTGAACCTTTTCATTTCCGTGTGATTAATTACCATTGCCACAATACCTAAATTTACAAACACGTAAAAAATGTTTTTAAAAATATTTTCTGGTATTAATACCAATGAATTACACATATAAACTACAATAATAATGTATGAATATCAAATATCATACTCAGTAGGAATTACACATACAACAATAATTTCACGAAAATGAACCAATGTTCATGGACAAACCTGGACACGAATTGTGGAGACAAAATAAATTCCATGAACAATGCACAATTGCAATTATTTGATCACTTGAATCAGCCCGACCACGAATTGTGGAAACAAATAAATTCATGTCCCATGAGTTGTTTCATTATGTTAATTGATTAATTTTAGAAGGAAAAAAAAAGATATCAAACTCAATGACATTTAAAGGATAGGTAAGGTCAAAGTTACTTGCCGCCAACAACAAAGTTATACTCCCTCCATTTTGAAATATAAGGCGTATAAAGATTTCTTATTTTTTTTGAAATATAAGCCGCGCTAAAAAATCAAAACAAATTTTTACATTTTTTTCCAAATATACCCTCATTGTGTTGAAATTAAGGAAGTGTGGAGTGGTTGTGATAAGAGTAAATAAGGTTAATTTAGTCAATTTATTCATTAATTAATGTCTCCTTAATATTTGTGCAATAACCTTAAAGCATTTACACATTATAATATTTTGATCAAACATTTCTTGTTCCAAATTAAATTTTCTAAGTTGTCAGCTTGCTCTACACACAGAATTTTATTTTCATTTTAATTAATTAATATTACAAAAAATCTTGATCAAAACTCTTAGAACCTCAAGCTGAAAATAATCCAACCAGACAATAGAATGACACAATACAACCAAACATCTCACAACAAAATGTAAACTTAACTCTATATCTGAGAAGGGGTCACTTATAGACAATAAATAAATTTACAGAGCCCACATCATAAAAAAACCAACTTTGAAACTTAAAAAAGAAAAAAGTAACAAGGATGAGAAGTTGTTGTGTTCCACAAGATCTCTCTCTAATACACAATATGTTTGTGTGGAACTTGCAAAAACAGAAAATAGATTTTACTGACTACATAAATTAGTTTGTGCTTCATTCTAATAACAAAATTACATATAATATTCAAACCGACACAACTCATGCTCCATGGAAGGCTAATCCATTAAAAGCTACACCAAGCACCACTAGCTGCTGGACTTACAACCAAACTCCGTCCACAAAAGTGAAAAACTTCATTACAACAAAATTTCATAAAGTGAGAACAGGCACAAGCACAAACCAAATTAACACTGAAATAAAAAAATAAATAAAAATATCAACTACGAAATATGAATCAACCAACAACTCACATAATCAATCAATCAACAAGATGTATAACTTTTACCTTGAAACCCTAGAGAAAAAGAGTATGAGAGTACCTGGTAGAGAGAAGAGTTTTCTACATACATGTGTCTGTTTATATCTTACGGGTTAAGACAACGCATTAATTAACCGATGCTTAGTTCGTTTACGACGATCAATATAAAACGAATTGCTCCTCTCTGGTATCCGTCAATGCACAAGTGTACTAGTGCAACTAATCAATCAAGATCAACTGTATATTTGATACTACAACCGTTCTAATGGTTTGTTCATTTTCATCTAGATTGTGAACCAATTATATATTTTTCGTAAGTGACTGATAAAATGATATCATGTCCATCCATGATTAATCATTTTATTTAAGTGCAAAACAATAGAACATAGAACTTGTAATCAAACATGAATCTCATTCAATAGAAATAGTGTAAATAAAATAAAAAAACTTTCAGTATATAACTAACATCCATCAATTTAGATCGGTTTTATTGAAACAAAGGAAAAAATAAGATGAAAAAGAAAGAGAAGATGAAGAACAGAGAGAAAATAGTTATTAAAAATAGACGAGCTTTGATAGAAAATCTGACAAAAGATTTGAGTTGGAAACCATCATAAAAAGTAGAATATATTATACAAGAAATAATAAATTAGATACAAAAAAATAAATATACTGTAATAACTTGAAAAATATATATATATATATATATATGTATATATATATAAATAGTTAATATATATATGCATATTATATCGAATTTAAGAGCATCTCCAATGGTCTTTTAATTATAGAATTGTGGAAGGAATTTAATAAAAAACATCTCCAACCCTCAATGTCTAGATGGTAATTATGATTATGTGGATGGAAGGAGAATGAATAAAATCTAGCACTCTTTCTACATTTAAAAGTCTTGCTAGACATGATGACTCACAATTTTCATCCCACTTACTTCTTTTATTTTTTATTAAAAACAACAAATTTGTTAAAAAAAAAAAAGAAGAGGTGTAACTGCTAAAGGAGTGAAAGTTTTGTTAAGATAGAAGTGAACTATTAGAGACTCATTATGAGTTTGAACTTCTATTTGTTCCACGTGAATGAAAATCTTTCTATTTAATTGCTACATATTTTTCAATTGATGTTCATGATTGGAGATGCTCTAACATTGTTTAGCCCAGTAACCCTCGGCCCAAACCGGCAGAATATCGAAGCAGTCGTCTATTCATCGTCAGGCAACGCCGGCCCACAGCCACATCAGCTTACCAAAAAGCACACTCAAATGAATATGAAATCTTCTCCGTTCAATATGGACTCCGTGCACCCAAAGTGATCCCAGCCGTAGAACACGTGTCCGGTTTTCAAATTCCCATCCAGTGATCCGACATGGCATTAAACTGGATTTAATACCCCAGCTTGATGTCCGCTATATAAATCACGTTGAGGGTCGAGAGGGGGGAAAAAGGAGATAATTCTGAAGTCAGTTTCTATCTGAAAAAATTGAGCTTCGAGAGAGAGCAGCTTGGATACCTTGGAAATTTGTAAGTTTCAATTACTTTTCCCACTTGATTGGCGTCGTCTCACTTTCTCGAACTCGAAGCAACTTCTTATGCTCTTGTCATTGAGATTTTTAAAGTTAGTTTTGGACCCTTTTGTAAGTTAGGGTTTTGGATTTCCTCCCCCTTTTTAAGAGGAATTCTCCAGCTATTGTGATGTTTTGTTCCTTTTTTCCTCACTATTGTTTCTGTTTATCTCCACTGACGAGCTTGTGACTGTGGTACTGATTATGAAGATCTTGTTATGGCCTGTAGCATCTCCATGCCTAATGATCTTAAAACTATCTCCATGCAGAACGTTTGAAGAAAGTCAAATTATTTTTTAGTGCCAATTCTCCATGTATGTTGTATTTTTCCTGTCTGTAGATAGCTATTCATGCACTCCCATTGGAATTTGTTCTATAAGCTTAGGATTTTATTATTTATTTTTGTCACAGAACGTCTAAAGCCATCTTTTATCCTGTAGATATACTTTCAATATCCGATTTTTTTGCCCGTTCTTTCTTTTGTAGTTATGTAGTTATATAAAGCATATCATTTTAAAGATACTGTACCATGCCCAGGGATGATATAGGCCTTGCCCATCTTCATACATCAGTTTGAGCTGTTATGGGTGAGGGAGATGCCGTGCCTGAGAAACCCGAGTCTGTTTCGAATGGTAATGTTGAGAAAGATGGTGGGACAGACAAAGTGACTGAAGCACTGGTAGATAAAAGTGTGGAGCAGCAAGTTGGAGTGATTGAAAAGGAGGAAGAGAATAAAGGAGATGAAACGAAAGTTGAGTCTCAGGATATGGACGTGGATAAAAAAGAAGTCTGTAAGAGCAAGGAAAGGGATGAAAATGCGGAAGATGAGAATACTGCAAAAGAAGAAGTAAATGAAGAAGGAGAAAAGCAAGAAAATCCAGAAGTAGAAACTAAGGAAACCAAGAGTGAGGAAATGGAGGAAGATCCAAAGGAGGAAACTGAGGATACAACTGCAGAAGTAGAAAAGACAGAAAAGGAAATAGAGGGAGATGCAGAATATAAAGCAGAGAGTGCAACTGCGGAAGGAAAAGAGAAGGAAAAGGAAATAGAAGGAGATGCAGAGGATAAAACTGAAAATACAACTGAAGAAATAGAGAAAAAGGAAAATATTATTGATCAAGTTATAGAGGATAAAACTGAGAATGTAACTGCAGAAGCAGAAAAGATGGAAAATAAAGTGGAAGAAGCCACAGAGGGTAAACCTGAGAGTCCGACTGCAGAAGTAGAAAAGGAGGAACAGGAGCTGGAGAAAGGCACAGATGAGAAAACTGAGAATGAAGAAACAGAAAAGGAGGATAAAGGGAGTGAGAAAATGGAGGAAGACACGGAGGGGAAAACTGAGAGAGAATCTGAAGAAGCAGAAAAGAAGGAAAAAACTAGTGAGAAAATGGAGGAAGGCGTGGAGGGGAAAACTGAGATAGAATCTAAAGAAGCAGAAAAGAAGGAAAAAACTAGTGAGAAAATGGAGGAAGATGCGGAGGGGAAAACTGAGATAGAATCTGACGAAGCAGAAAAGAAGGAAAAAACTAGTGAGGAGATGGAGGAAGACACAGAGGAGAAAACTGAGAATGCATCCGAATTAGCAGAAAAGAAGGAAAAAACTAGTGAGGAAATGAAGGAAGACACAGAGGAGAAAACTGAGAGTGCATCCGAATTAGCCGAAAAGAAGGAAAAAACTATCGAGGAAATGGAGGAAGACAAGGAGAAGAAAACTGAGAGTGCATCTGAAGAAGCAGAAAAGAAGGGAAAAAAGAGTGAGGATAAGGTTCAAGAGGAGGTTGATGAAGTGAAACAGAATGATGAAAGTCCAAAGGAGGCCATCAAAGAGAAAGGCACAAGAAAACGTCCAAGAACAAAGAGCGGAGGTGGAAAGAAAACCATGAAGAAGGACCCTGAAGATAAGGGGGAAGGGCAGAAATCACCAAAAGATAAAAAGGCTACAGAACCTAAATCTTCAGTAGATAAAGAGAAGGAAGAGCCAACAACTCCTGCGGCTTCCAGAATTGATCGCCCTGTACGTGAAAGGAAATCTGTTGAAAGGTTGGTTGCCATTATTGAGCAGGACTCTTCTAAGGAGTTCCATGTTGGAAAGGTGTGTTGTTAGTTTAAGTTATTGATCGTATTGCAACTTTCTGATTTGCTTTCATCAATGGTTTTGGCAAGTTTTATTGGTTGTACTTTTTTTGTGTGTGTGTGTGTGTGTGTGTGTGTGTGTGAAACTACAAGTTGTTGAAAGATTTAATTCTGTGACACATAATTTTCTTGCAGGGTCGTGGAACTGCACTGAAAGATATCCCAAATGGTATATTTTTGCAATTCAGGCACTTGAACATGCCTTTTCACTCTGTCCTCCAAGTCAATATGAGCTGCATTTTATTCCGATTCTCCTTTCTTTTGGCTGAACTAACTTGGAGATTTTCTTTCTGTTGAACTGTATGGTTAGCATAAAGAAGTGTTTGGCATACAACTTTGGGGTTTGCCTAAAAGATTTATTCTTTTTATGTGTGCTAGAAAGATTCATGAGGTCATTCAACAATTAGTTACTTGTACTTAACTGTTACCGCATGTGCTTTTTTACCATACCCGTTGTCATCTAGGAGTTTCCTGATTCTCATCCCTGATGCATATTACTCACAAATTTTCAGCCGGAGTTGTATGTCATGTAATTTGCTACTCATTTTATCACCCACATCCTTCTGCTTATTTATCTGACAGTCTTGAGTCCTGTCAATCTCAATCCCCAAAAATTGGGTGCTAATTGTTAACTAAAAGTCTCTTGGAAATAAAATGCTAACTGGTTTGAAACTCTTATATACTTGTGTTTTCATTGTAGGCCATATTTTTTGGTTTTCTTCTGCTTATTCATATATATTGGTTTAATTGAGTAAAATGACCAATATGCTGGTCCGTAATAGGTTAATAGAAAAGCAGATGAGCAGTTGGCATATGTTTTACTGCTTTTAAACTAGAACTGCAGAGTGCTGACAGAGATACAGAACGTACATGGCCTGATCTCCATGCATGCGTGCTCACTTGTATCTGTCACTCTCCACACCTAAAATAATGTGTTCTCGCATTTTATTGTAAATTTTTGCTCATGTCATTTGTTGCTTAGGTACTGCCCAATGCTTGTAGTTCCTTCAATTTTGTGTCTTGCAGTCTACATCATTTTTATTTTATGTGCTTAAAAGAAATAAATGTTGACCAGAGACACAGTTGTAGGAATAATTTCGGATTTATACTTTATATCTGAACCACAGTTTTATTTCAGTGGCATACAAGTTGTCAAGAAAGAAGAGTGATGATACTCTCAAATTGTTGCATACTATTCTCTTTGGAAGGAGAGGAAAGGTAATACTTAAAATTCATAACATATTCTAGGTTAGGCTAAATATCATCTCTTATATTATTTATAGTTAAACTAATCTCCTTGAAAAGAATTCACATCTGATGTGCATGGATTTCTCTCCAGAATTAATAATATTTATTAACTTCGTGCTAATTTCTAATCATAGTCGGTCCTATATCAATTAATTTGTTTCATGAAAGTTACACTACTTACTGTGACGAGGTTCAAATTGAACCAGCATCGAGTGTTATTACTAGTTCATCAGCCCTGCTAAATTTTCCTGGGATAGTTTACAGCTGATTCAGTGGTTTGTGCTTGATATGAATCCGTGGTGACCATAGAAATGTGAGTCTGGCGGTTGGCCTGACTTTCTTGCTATTGAAAAAAGATGAATTATTTACTTTTCGTGCTTGAATCTCAGGCTGCTGAAATTAAGAACAACATATCAAAATTCTCTGGATTTGTTTGGCGTGACAACGAGGTAAAGAGGAAACTTGATGGCAAGTCCTATCGAACAGTTTGGATCTTTTCAACAGAATTGTTAGAACTTAATGTTCTCCAAATGAACGTTATTTCAGGAAAAGCACATGATGAAAGTCAAAGAGAAACTTGACAAGTGTATCAAGGAGAAGCTACAGGAGTTCTGTGATCTCTTTGATATACCAATTTCCAAGGCTAATTCAAGGAAGGTCCGTTTCTAATCTCAGCATCTATAGGATGCAGAATTGCAGTTATCACTTCACTGTTGAAATTGTGCCCTTGATAGGAAATAATTACCGTTGCCCATGTTAGGATCTAACTACTGTTTCTTTAGATGCAAGAATAGAGTTCTGCATCTTGCTGCAGTTCTCGTTAAACCTATATTATTTTGTTACCAGGAAGATATCATCGCTAAGTTGGTAGAATTTTTGGTGGAACCTCATGCCACTACTTCTGAATTACTTGCTGACAAGGAGCAGGTACTATATGGAGTAATTTTCTGTTGGTAATTTTGTTTTGGCTCCTATAACTTTCTGGCCCTGATTTTCATATGTATCATGCACATGACCAGTCAAGTAAGGGCAAAAAGAGAAAGAGGGTTAGCAAATCAGGATCTGGGACGGGGAGTAGTACACCATCAAAAGGATCATCTAAGGTAGAGATTCTTGTTTTTACTTCATTATATCCGCGGAAGGTAAATTTGTTCAAATAAAGCTTTAATTATTCTGCATATGCGTGACTCATTGAAGATTATCTTGCTGTTCTTAATTATTTGATAAATAGGCTAGATTGTCTTGATCAGGTTCTGACGTGTGCTGGTTGTATGTAGCTTTGTACTATTAGTTATATAAAGAAACAAGATAAGTTAACTGACCGAAGGTGAAAACTCTGTGTATATCTATCTAAGTTTGTAAAGGGCTGCTCAGCAATGAAGCTAGATTGAAGAAAAGAAATCAAATTGGATAATAATTATAAATTTATTGTAAGGATGATCTTAGTAGTGAAAACTGCATATTGTAAATACAAATATTATGTTTTGCATCTCAGAGTCGAAAGGTAACTGGGGGTGGTTCTACAAAAATTGGGGGCCCAAAAAGCACGCCTCCTGACTCTGAAGATGAATCAGGAGAAGAGAAGGAGGAAGCCCATGAGGAGGACGATGCACATAGTATTGGAGAAAGATCAGATGATGAAATGTCTGAACAAGCTGAAGCTGGGGAAAGTGAATCTGAAGGCAGATCTGATGAGGACAGGGGAAAGAAGCTACTTTCAGAAAAGTCCTCTGGAAAGAAGGAATCTGATGGCAAAGCCAAAACCAAGAAAGAAACAATCTCTAAAAAGGCAAGCCCTCCGCCCAAAAGAACACCTGCCAAATCACCACCGAGCCGATCAGAAAAGAAGAAAGATACAAGTGGAAAAAAGTCATCTGGTAAGAAGAAAGATGAATCGGTCAATAAGTCACCAAGGCGATTAGAAAAGCCTAATGACACAAGTGCGAAAAAATCTTCTGGTAAGAAGAAAGATGAATCATTGGACAAGTCACCAACTGGGAAGAAGACAGGTTCAAAGGAGAGCACTGGTAAGAGTCTTAGTGTTTACTGTTTTATTAATTGTATGCTTTTGTATTGATGCACATCGTAACATTAATTGGTTGCCTATTTATGGGCTTGTGTACACACATTAACAATTAGGTGAGGTCTGTTTTGTGTTTATTCAACTGCAGGGAGTAAAATTCTTAAAGTGAAAGATAAACTCAAGGAGCGGAAATCAGAGCCAACCGATGCTGAACTTACTAGTGCGATTTGTGAGATCCTTAAAGAGGTCGATTTCAATACGGTCAGTTTCTGAAACTATCTTCTTCAATGTTTCTGGATTTGGTTTGGGGGAATTATGTGTTCCTTGGAATGCTCTTCTTGTTGGCTAGCTGGACACTTGAAACCTTTGGGTAAAAGTATCGACTTTCTGGGAGAAATGATATATAACTTCGAGTCGGTGTCTGTTTGGTCTGGTGGGGCGTAATGCCTCATCAGATTACTGGGAATTTTCTTTGTAATAGGCTCGAGTCTGAAGTTGTCGAAGTTGGATGAACAGTTTTCTGTTATTTTATTCGGGCATAGATTCTTGATTTTTCACCACCCTTTTAACACATTTTTCCATTCTGCAGGCTACCTTCACAGACATTTTGAAGCAACTCTGTAAGTTGGCTTATAAATTTTAATTTAGTTGAACTGCATAGTTCTTATCTGTTAATGCTGCCCTATCTTTTATTTTGGTTTCATTTCGGTAGTTTAAATCTCAGTTGCCAACTCAAGGCAGGCAGGGGTATTGCTAGAAAATAATACACTTGTGAAGTTAATATGTGTTACTTGGACCTCAATTCTGATTACAGACTTACAATACAGCTATGTTCTTCTGCTTTACTTGTTCATATAATTTACTAAAGCCTTCGTTAACCTACTTTATCTGAATATACTGGGTTTTATTATATTTTCAATATGAAGATTTTCTGATAACCAGAGAATTTTGGTAAATTTTTGGAGGTGTAATTGGATATGAAATGGAAATCTAATGATAAACGTTGATGTGACATACAAATGTTTAAAAGCATGAATAAGAAATTATTGTCATTTAGAAACATGTAAGGGAATAAGTAGTGAAATGACAAACATGTGATACATGGTATTTCCTGCAAGCCTCTAGATGTGATTTTTTTGGAGAAAAATCGAGGTAATTTTAGAAGATTTTTTAGTCAGATAAGAATTTCTCTGTACTGGAATGAAAATAATAATTATATAAAAAATCTTGATGAACTTTGCTTTCCATTATTTATTTCTGTTGTGTGACAAATCCTCATCTCCTGTTATCAGCCAACCAATTCAAAGCAGATCTGACGTCGAGAAAACAAGCAATAAAGCTCATGATTCAGAAAGAGCTAACAAAACTAGCCGAGGCTGATGAGGACGATGACGAGGATGCTGATGAAGGTGATGATGATGCTGATAAGAACAAAAAGAAGCCTTCGACCCAAGGTGTGAAGGCATGAACAGCCTTTTTATGGAAACATGCTGCATAGAGTTGTAGACTCGTGTACACTATCATTATATATTCTCTTAATTTACTGCCTTCTCATAACTTATAGTAGTGGTCCTTGCTAGCTTGTAGCATTAGTCGAGCACTTAAGGCTAGCTGTGTATTTTAAGTGTTGCAACTGCTGCTGACTTTGGTTTCAAGTGTTGACATGATTGTACTGTTTACATATTTCCTTTGTAGTTTGGGGAACTATATAACGTGGAATGGAAATGTTTGGAATAATTTGTGGGCACTTCTTGTATTTGAATTTTGAGGAATGCAAACATTTAGGGCATCAATGTTGTAGCAAACTAGTTTAAACTATCAAGGACAACAGTTTTTTGTATCATCTGAGATGAAATAAATTTGTCTTGTTACATCTACATCTCATAAATGTTTGAAAAAATGTGCCTTTTGCATTGTCTATTATGTCGGCTTTTAGCTTGAACGAAGGCGAAAATCTTTGGAGAGTTTGAGTAGCTACGTTGGCTTAAAATTGAAGGGAATATTTGGAGATCTTTCATTGAACTTTGGAGAGCTTGAGTAGGTATTCTTTGAAAATAGAAAAAAAAACCATATGATTCAGCTCTGAATTTTTCGAATTAGTTTTAAGTTTGATTTTTAGCTTCCTTTTATGTATTGATTAATATTCAAATATTAATTGATTGTTTATCAAATGGCGTCGCGTCCTCATCCAACCTTGTGTTAACGGTGTGACTATAAAACTTTATATGAGAAGAGATTATCCATTTGTGTTATGTGTTTAGGGTGTGACAATATTTTTATATTGTCATGAGAAGAGATTATCATTTTGCGTTGTGTCAAATATAATCCCTACTGATCATCGAACACCTAATTTCTCCATTTACGTAAAATATTTGGAGTTGTACTACTATACTCATCATTTGCTCTTCGCAGCAGTAGCTGCTAATTATTTTATCCCACGGAAAAGACATTCTCTTTGGCTGAATCACGAGACTTTTAGTCTCGTTAAGGAGTGATCGATCTTGGATTTTTATGTCTATTGTACCAATTGTTGATTATCAGTTATTTTCAGCGACACAGGTTATGCAAAATCCTCGAAAATTCTTGTAACTTCGAAAAATACATCTCTAAAAGCAGTCGATGATGCAAGTGAACATGTACGGAAAAGCTGTCACTTTCGTTGTTTAGTGGGCTGAGCTTAGCAGTAAAGAGCTCTTGTTTAGCGAAAGTTGGACGGATGGCTAAGACATCCGACTCCACATCAAAGCCCATCAAACTGTAAACATCATCACTCTTTTCAGCTTCATTTCTCCCCTCAATCACTTCCAACATTTCAGGTCCTCCAGTAAACCAAAAGAATTCATATTCATAATGAACAAGGAGAAATGCTTGATCGAGTTCAAAATTATTCATATATACAAGAGAGGTCCCCCAAAAAACAATGACCTCCACTTATGATGGTTACAAGTATACTGTTCTCCCAGAAATTCTATACAAAACACCATCACAATGTGAATAGATCAGTCCTAGAAGCCTATACATGTAATCATACACAAAAACCTGATTTTACATGAGCTCAGTGCCTAAAGTTAGCATTTCTACATGGTACTTGCAAAAACAATGCAACAGTAAAACACAAAATGACTGACAGGAGGGAGAGGGGCATCCGAAAATTACAAGAAAAGAAAATACAAAAGAAGGGGGATGAATAATGACAAATATCCTGAGTCTTCAATCTAATACAACACATTCACACTCATAACACAATCTTACATATCCACCACACATCAGACTCCAGCATTTTATCCATCATCCACAATATTGGTTTGTTAAAGCCATATTAAAACTCTTAACACAAATGAAAAGTCCGACAATTGAAATTAAAAGGTTCTTCCACAGGTAAGCCCTACGAGGTGTCACCATGCCATCTCATCCTCTCTTAACTAAAAGGCTCGCCTCAACATCTCTTCAAGAATCCAGACCGGCAGTAGAAATTCCTCCCGATACAAAATCACATCCTCCAAGCTAACATCATCAAAATATATACGTGAGATACATTTGCAGTAATACAAAAGATATGGTAACTTGTACATATTTAGCCAAAAGCTGATATCATGTTCTGATCATATATATCAATCTTGCATCAGCAGATCGTTAAAGCAGTAACAATACTAATAATGCGATACATGAACATTTTTTTTTAAGTATAAAGCTAGTAACTCGAAAGGACGGCATAATGTTAGGCGGAAAATGTGCAGACAATTCACACTAATAACATGATACGAAATGATGCAACAAATTACCGATGTGATACAGCTGCTATATCACAACTTTTGCACAAATGACACGTGATACAGTCAATGTAATTTAGAAACCACACCATTATAAAACCCAATTTCACCCATCACCATTACAAGTGCAGCAGCCAGCCACCCACTGCTACCCCAGCTTATGGTTAATTTCTAGACTAAAGTCATGGGAAGATTTAAGATCTTTAAACCGTCAATAACATGCAAACCTATGACAAAACTGATGTCTCACGCAGATGCTAAATCATTCCTACAAGATGAACAGAAGTTGGTACTATGAATAACTTGCACAATGCCGACCATCAGAGGATTCTGTAAATACTTCCATCGGCAATCCAAATTGTCGCACATTTCTTGTTGCCTCATAACAAGCAAGGTGGAGTGGAGATGTTTCGTGATGGTACACCAAACGAAGAATGTAATTAGGGTTGTAAGCAAGCAGAACCAAGCTTGAACTCCTGATACTCGAGCTCTCGGCCGAGGCTAAGTCAAGCCCTAAAAAACCGAGCCGAGATCACGAGTGGCTTGTTTTGTTTAAAAGCTATATTTGTGGGTACTATCCTGTTAAAACATTTTCTAGACTAACTATAAGTCTCCCCATTCTGTAAAGCATCAAAATTCAAGTTCAATTTGGTAGACCTGTTAGGGTGCTATTCATCCAATTTACACCATAAAGAAGTTCTCGTGTTGGCATGTGGTAACAGAAACAGCAGCAGCACCATCTAAGCATGGGTATGTTTAAAAGACAATTTTCTGATTTTATATTCAATAGCTACTACCTTCTTCTCCTAGTAATTAGTGTTGCTATTGCTTGTTTTAAGTTGAATTCAACTACATGAAACAAATACAACGGGAAAATGCATTAAACAAAATCTCTTGAAAACTAATCATAGTAAAATTGGACAAGGATAATCAATGAACGATGAACACCTTTCAGTTATACCGTATCTGCTTGTGGTTTACAAAACCATTGTTGTTTATTGATGACTTTAGCACCTACTAAAGATTAGGCTCAAGATTGGACACTAAAGAAAAGACAGCCATACACTCCGTAAATTATGCTACCATCTTTCCTAATTTTTATCCCTGTCTAAATCTGCTAAAATGTACTAGTTACATAGAAGCTTCTGAAGAAATTTGGAACGGAAGAAAAGAATATCTCCATCGAGCAGTAGAAAGAATTTAGATAAGGTAACCATTTGTTTCCCTAAACATAAAACAGTGAGATATTTTAAATTATAACAAAACTGCAAGCTGTGACATAAGAAAGAAAAAAAAATAATATGACAATTTAGAGACTAAAATGAGACACAAATTACCGTGCTGCAATAGCAGAAAAATTGTTCATCTCCCGTCCGATGACGATGAGAATGTCAGATAAAGAAGTTGAAATAAAGTAGCATCCACAGTAATAACAGAACCATGGCTGCTGAATTCATATGATGAACATTCTAAGTATGACCAAATCTCAGAAGCACCTAATAGTTCAAACTATTTGCACCAAGCTAAGTTTCAAATGCAGTTCAACAAGTATATAACCAATGATTAGTGATCACTGAAGAATAATCCCGAGCACCCACCAGAATATTGAGACATGCACCACCCAACAGTGTCAAAATATAACTAAGTTAGTGCTCGCACAAACAAAGAATCCAACAATACCAAGCTCAAGTGGTATACTTTTACTCTACAAATAGAAATTTACCAAATCAAATCAGAACCTTAGTCATTCAGAACATATGAGAACTGACAGACATGCACAAAGAAACCACATGTTACTCATGCGTGATGACCCATCTCAATATAACAGATAAAGTGAGGTTATGAAATCCTGCCATGGCAGCCTGTGGGGCCGCCGTAACCGCCATGCTTCACAAATTTATAATAAGAGGTTAGGCTGAAATCCGCCACGCCACACCACCATGGCAGAATTTCAATAACATTGGTAAAAATCAAATGTAATCAACGGTAACTGGAATTTCGAATGTAAAATATTGTATCACTTCCCAATGAAAGGAGAAAGCAAGTGCAACAACTAAGAAAAGCTACAACTCACAGGGAAAAAAAAAAACCCACAAAACAAAATTGCAGATTTCAAGAGAAAAGAATAGGATGCCTTACTTGAGCCCTGCACTGACGGCAGCTCCACCTTGAAAGGAACTCATTTGAATTAACAAAGCCAAAAACATCACAAAAAAGCAGAACGCTTCTCACACCTAATATATCCAAGAAAGCACCTCGCAACAGACTCTGAATGACCATGGTGAACAAAGTTTATTAATCCCCTAATCATTTTCCTTCTAGCACGATTTCCAAACTCCTGCACATTTGAGTTAATCCGAGACCAGGCGCCGTCTCTTCCCATAATCAGCATCCCTAGACCTCGATCTACGCTCTTCCTCATGGGATACCCTTGACTTCCCATGGGTCCTTGATGACCTTCCCCTGTCCCACTCATCATCATACTCCGCATCACGGCTCCTGTGCCTATGATGGCTGGCATACCTGTCCCTATCGTCCTTATTCCGTTCACGCTCACGTTCACGGCCACCACGTTCATGGTCCAGGGAACGCTCACGATCCCTCTCCCTCTCCCGCTCCCTCTGCCTGTCCCTCCCCAAATCCTTCTCTTCACGATTTCTCCTTTCTGACCACTCGTTATCACGTCCTACGTCTTTTTCTCTAGGCGCGTCTCTTTCGTAGCCAGCTCCTCCGTCGTCTTTGTACCTCCTCTCGGAGGACCCAGACCAATCCCTTTCTGATCCTCTGTCTTTTTCCTTAGCAGCATTCGGCCACGGCCCTCTCTCCTGACTCCCATCCCTATACTGATGGTCTGATGCGGCTTCTTCTCCATAACTGGACTCCCCAGCTCGGCCTCCATGTTCATCACCAACCCATCCCCCCATACTAGGATCCGGCCACATTCCAATGTTAGGCCCCTCAATCCCAGGGTTGGGCATCATCCCCATTCCATTCATCGGCATCCCCCGACCAAAGAACGCCGGATTAACATGTGGGGCAACGCCTGGCAGGCCAACATTTCCAACAGGTCCAAATGACGGCAAAATTCCAGAGAAGGGAGCAGCGGGACCACCGGGAAATCCTCCATAGCCACCCATCCGACCCATTGGACCTCCAAATGCAGGATCAAAACCCTGACCCATCATTGCCTGAGGATGCATCAAGGGAGCGGCGGGACCAATCCCCTGCCCAAATCCATTGCCTGACAAACCACGAACCCCCATTCCACCAGCCCCCCTATTCCTCATGGGGCCAATCGGACCCCTATTACCCATTCCTCCTTGATTATTACCTCTACCCCAGTTTCCCCTCCCAAAGCCTCTACCATTGTTGTCACCACCAACCGGATGATTCCCAGCACCGCTCAAATTGCTACCAACGCCGCCAGGTTTGCCGGGTAAGTCGCCAGGACCTCTCCGTGGCTGATTGACAGCTGCCGGACCCATCTGCTGTTGGTTCCTATTCACCTGGGCCTCGCCCATTCTTTTTACAGTATACGGAGAGGCATATGCCACCACGCATGACCGCCCATTGAATACATGTCCATTCATCCTTTCCTTGCAGGCGGTAGCGGCTGCTGGGTCAAAAAACTCAACCTGACAGTAACCCTTGGACTTCCCGCTGGCCCTCTCGTCAAAGAACTTGACCTCCTTCACTGGCCCGTACTTGCACAGTTCCGACTCCAGCTCAGCATCTGTTGTCCACCAATGCAGGTCTCCAACAAAAAGAATCGTCCCCCCTCCTCCACCCCCGCTGCCGGCCCCACCTCCTCCTCCGCCAATTCCACCATCACCACCAGCACCTGTCACTCCACCACCACCATCACCTCCGTACACATTTCCACCAGTCCCGTTCACATTCCTCGCATTTTCAGCACTCCCCATATTTCCAGGGTGTGTCTGCTGCTGAGGAGGAGGATGAACCACTTGTTCATTATTCAGGACGGCGTTCGCTGCACGTTCCTCCAAATCAGCTGCTTTGCTCGATGGCTTCCCTAGCTCAACCCTGAATCCGCCTCCACTCCCAGCTGGTGGTCCAGCCCCTCTACCAGCTCCGGCATCACTCGTGTTACTATTTCCTCTAAATTCCATATTCTGGTACCCCTCTACTCTACCAGGAACCCTAGACGAAGCCCCCTCATCCTGTAAAGCTACGCCTCCACTCTGCACCGGCGGCTGCTGCTGAGGTGGCGCCGGAGATGAAGGCGCCACCGGGGTCGGGGTCGGGGCGGTGTCAGCCTTGCTCTCCTGTACCCCTTGGTTCCTCTGCTCTAAATTATCCTCATTCCCGCCAAGGGACTGAAGAAAATTCTCGCCGACGTTGACGTCGTTGTAGAGATCCTCATAGTCATCGTCCTCCTCACCCAGGAAAGCATCGTCGGCGACGGCAGAGATCGCCTCGTTTCTGTGGAACTGCTCGCTCGGATCTGCACCTAGGGATTCATTTTCGTCCATGGCTTGGCTCAACCCTCAAAACTTTAGGGGTTTCTTTTTGTTTCAATTTTTCCCTCTGTTTTTGCAAATCTTTCTTTTCCTACTCGAGGCCTTCAAAGGAAATGACGAGCATTAAACAGCTAGTGAAGAAATGAAGAGATTCGAATTCGAGGATCGTACAAGAAGTTGTGGATTGTGTTCTATCTTCTATCCCTCGAAACCCTAATCTGGAAACTTGTAAGTACTTGTTAACTTGGCTGAATCTCGATAAGAAGAAATATTATAATTGTGAAAGGAAGACACAGACGAAATTGGGGCATGTGATTACCTCGAATTCTCTTGCTTATGTTGCATTATAGGCACAGCCTACTGTGGATTTGTGCACATATGACGCGCATTGTGTACTCTCACGGTCTCACCAATATCATCAAAAAATAAAACATAAAAGAAATCCGAACGATATATTTTATAATAATGTTAACAAACAGTTTTGTTATGGAGCCATCGGATGGAGTCATCCATACTTAGGCTGTATTTGGTAAGTCAAATAAGCTAGCTTATAACTTATTTGATTAGCTTATAAGCTCCCTGTATTCAAATAAGTCTCGTTTGGTAGGACAGACTTTTTTAAAAAGTTCGAGTTTATCTCATAAGCTACTTTAGGTAGCTTTTCAAATAAGCTAGTTGATTTTTTAATTTCAGCTAGCATATCAGCTAATTTTCCCAAATATTTTTATCATATAAGCTAGCTTTTCAGTTATAAGTCATAAGTTATAAGCTATAAGCTAAAAAATTACAAATAAGCTATAAGCTAGCTTATCAGCTAGTTTTACCCAACATAGCCTTATTCACCAATAGTGTATTGACATCTGTCCTGCAATAAATACAATTTGGACATGTGTCAATACATTAAGTGGTGGATGACTCCATAAGAAAACCATCCGATGACTCCATAGAATTTTTGTGTTAACAAAAATAATTACATACTCTACGCTATGTTTGGTAAAACTAGCTGATAAGCTAGTTGATAGCTTATTTTCGAGCTTATAGCTTATAGCTTATGACTTATAGCTGAAAAACTAGCTTATATGATAAAAATGTTTTGTAAAATTAGCTAATAAGCTAGTTGAAATAAAAATTTCAACTAGCTTATTTAAGATGCTGTCTAAAAAAGCTTATGAGATAAGCTTGAACTTTTTAAAAAAAATCGTCCTACCAAACAAGACTTATTTAAATACAGGAAGCTTATAAGCTAATCAAATAAGCTATAAGCTAGCTTATTTGACTACCAAACATAGCCTAAGTATTAAGTTGAATCTAGAAGAGATCTATGCTAAGGTGGTCCAAAAAACTGAAAGCACAAAACACAAACTAATATGAAATACCATATCAGGTCGAGTACGACCTAAAGAGCAGTCTGATTGACCGACAGGTCGGTTGAAGATCAAGGACAATAGAGGTCAAAGAGTCACCAGGTCGATGGTGACTTCACCAGTAAGTGAGCTCGTCAACAGGACAAGCTAGGGCTCTCGGCTAGCTTGATAGAAACTCGACCTGGAGCCAAACAAGCATACACATCGATAGTGCGACCGGTCTTCTACTGTGTATTATTTGAAACTATTTTGGGTTATGACCGTGTCGCAAAATATATGAACAAATTAAAAT